CCAGGAACCATCCCAAGAACCAGCCCAGGAACCAGCCCAGGAACCAGCCCAGGAACCAGCCCAAGAACCAGCCCAGGAACCAGCCCAAGAACCAGCCCAGGAACCAGCCCAAGAACCAGCCCAAGAACCAGCCCAGGAACCAGCCCAAGAACCAGCCCAAGAACCAGCCCAGGAACCAGCCCAAGAACCAGCCCAAGAACCAGCCCAGGAACCAGCCCAAGAACCAGCCCAAGAACCAGCCCAGGAACCAGCCCAAGAACCAGCCCAAGAACCAGCCCAGGAACCAGCCCAAGAACCAGCCCAAGAACCAGCCCAGGAACCAGCCCAAGAACCAGCCCAAGAACCAGCCCAGGAACCAGCCCAAGAACCAGCCCAAGAACCAGCCCAGGAACCAGCCCAAGAACCAGCCCAAGAACCAGCCCAGGAACCAGCCCAGGAACCAGCCCAGGAACCAGCCCAAGAACCAGCCCAGGAACCAGCCCAAGAACCAGCCCAAGAACCAGCCCAAGAACCAGCCCAGGAACCAGCCCACGCCGCCAGTTTTTCCTGATTTTGAAGACATGCCCACATAGCACTGGGTTTCCACTCTTCTCCTTGTGCCACACACACACCAGAACAGAACCCCTTGGGTTTAGTGAACATTAAAGCCACCAGCATCCCAAAAATCTTGCTTAAAAATGATCCTAAAGCTGTTTCCACTCTTCTTGTGCCACGCACACACCAGAACAGAACCCCTTGGGTTTAGTGAACATTAAAACCACCAGTATCCCCAAAATGTTGGTTAAAAACGATCCTAAAGCTCAGTTTCCACTCTTCTCCTTCTGCCACACACACCAGAACAGAACCCCTTGGGCTTAGTGAACATTAAAACCATGAGTATCCCCAAAATGGTGGTTAAAAACCACCCTAAAGCTCAGGTTCTCCATTGGGTCTCACTCCAGTGGGTAAATAGGTGCACAGGGAGCAAGCAGCTAAGATGGAAAAGCAATTCCTCCTCACACTGGAGATAAAAAATAAGAATAACCCCAGAAAACCACCACCCATTCCTTGGCTAATCACTCATCTTGAAGAAGAAAAGCCTGTTTCGTTAGTAGCTTCTCAAGTGGATCCAGGGGATTTCTGCCAAGAACACTGGAAGAATCCCAAAATCAAAACAATGCTCTGTCTGGATGGAGAGAAGCAGCTTTTTCTAAACATTGTTCTCAAAGGAGGAGCAATTTACACCAGCCGAGGCAGCCACATCGAAAGGACTTGCAGCTCAGGCTGTTGGGGACACCAAACCAGCAGTTAGGAAAAGCAAAATACAAGCAGCAGGCTCCTGCTTTTCATTTTTGTGTCTTAAGCCTCAGCCAGACTCACCCAGCTCAGCTACATTTACACAGCAGGCAAACACCCTGGCAGCTCCAACACTCATTTTGAAGTCAAAACTCATCTGGAAACTACATTTTGGATTTTCCTTAAGTCTCTTTCCTCAACTGTGACGATGTTACCAAGACCTAGAGCATCACAAAACCCATGTTCTAGCCCCAGAAAGATGCAGAAATGCAGATAACAACAAACAAATTACCTCTTCACTCCACCCCTCAAGAAACCACCTTCTCCACAGCTGTACACACTAAAAGAAATAACCCCAAACAATAGTCTCAATTTATTTATTCGGTTTGAAAACTCTTTTTTTTTTTTCTTCTTCTTTTAATTTAAAATTTACAGCACACGTGGGGAGGAAACATGTTTTGTTACAACTAAAAATTATCAGAAGAGTGCTGCAGGGTTGTTCTCTTTTGTTTTTAATTTAACACTGCCATGGCTTTATTCAAAACACAGTTGCACAAAATCAGTTACTCCAAAGTTTCAGGAAAGAGTTTGGATCAGGAACCAAAAAAAACACACTATATACATACTGCCATACAAAGAGCATTAAAATAGGACAAAAACCTCTACAAAATATAAAACCCACCCTTACATATTTGCATGAAAAGACCACCCACCAAGCAAAAAAGTTTCAAAAGTTATCTGGAGGCTCTTGTATTACTGAAGATTAAAAAAATGCCACGCTCTTTAATCACATGCCAAGCTGACAAACTTCTACTTGGATGGTGAGAAGACAAAAGTTACTTTGGAAGTTCCTTTTTGTGTGAGGCTCAGATTTTATATTTCTTTTTTTTTTTTTTCCACGTAGCAGCTGATGCAGGACCCTAAAAAGATGGTTTGTTGGGGTTTTTTGTGTGTGTGTGTGTGAAGTCTGCCTGGCTCTGGAAGGTCTGCTACCCCCCTCTGAGTTGATTGATTTAGCTCATCCAATATCAAAACTGGACCTGCTGAAACAAGACCCAAAATACCTTAATCCATGAAACAGGAGGTGGGTTGGTTTGGGTTTTTTTCCTGCTTAAAACTGACTTGATGCACATGAGTAAAAGACAGTTGAGGAAAACCCTGACAGGGAGGAACTTGAAATAACAGGTTTCAGTAATTGGCTGAGACTACAAAAAAAAAAAAAAGAAGGAAAAAGATGGGAAAACACTTTTCTACCTCCAAACTGAGCAGAAAACCTTGAACATGGAGCCTCCAGGATAAGACAGGATGTGCACCTCCCCCAAGGGTTCTACTCATTCAGAACTCAAGCCACAAACACAGGAACTCAGATGATGGCTGTAAATGTAGGGTTTGTTTGGTTTTTTCCTCTCTTTTTCTAGTGTCTGCTGGTTAAAAACCCTGTTTTGTGAGTTGATCTCCAGCCCTGCTGCCCTCCTGCCTCCATCCCTGGGAGCCCTCATGGGCTGACCATGCTCCACAGCTACAGGAGAAATTAGGATTTAAGGCTCTAATGGGGGGGAGGGGATAAAAACCCAACAAACCACACACACAAGAAACTGGGCTTTGCAGAACTTCAACCCTGCAGTATCTACACTTGATTGAAGAGCTGGAAGTCACATTTAAGGTCTGCTAGTGTGAAATACCTATTTAAATATTCACAGGTAACCCACCTTGACTCTTCCTTAGGTCCAGGAAATCTCTCTCTCTTCCCCACCCTGGGTGTCTCCCCCAATTAAATGGCAGCTACTGTTAGCCAAGATATAAAAATAAGTCTCTTGAATAAAGCTGTGTGTGATATTTGGTTCAGTTACCTACATGACACAATGGAAATCCAGTTTGATACCACGACGACCAGTTTCATCCCCAAAATCATGGCTGGATGTTTGAATTTGGTGGCTCAACTAGAAAACATGGATCCATTTGGGGTGGAATGATGGAGACCTGTTGGTCATAATCAGGCTGCTAGAAAGAAAAAACACAACCCCCTTTGTCTGCACATCTCCTGTACTTGCACCAACTGGGAACAAGTTTCTGCAGCCATTTGATATCAAAAACCCTCAACTATGAACTAGGATGATACACAAACTGGACTGTTTTGCCTACAACCAGATTGAAAAGGTTTAGAAGGAAAGACTGACCCACGTTCATCTTTTATTCTCCCTTTAAAAGGATTCTAGAAAAGTGGGGAGCTTGAAAAACCAAACCTGTGCTTGGAGTTTTACCCGTTAACTCCTGCTTCAGAAATGCAGCCCAACCCCAGGATTGCTGCAGAATTCCCCCCAAAAATGACAAAGCCAGAGCCAAGTGAGTGCAAGTTTAACCAAAACTGAGCAAAATTGCTTTCAAAAGACACATTATTTGTTCTCATGAATTGCTGCAAGTGATTCTTCTGGAGGAAGTTCATCCCTGTTTGCTGAGATGTGTTCCTGGAGGTGAAAGTTCCAGCAAACCCCCCCAACAAGCAGGAAAATAAAGATCTTCTTGAAACCCAGTGAGACTTTACAATGGAACACACCAAAAAAATAATCCATGAGTCACCTTTTTTAGAAAAAAAAAAAAAAAGCTGAAATAAAGGTGTCTTCTGGTTGTTGATTTCAAATAGAATCCCCGGGAAACTGAGTCAACATCTCCTTTAAAAGAGACTGGAATATTATTATTTTTTTTTCATTTTTTTCTTTTTTTTTTTTTTGAGTTCAGCTTTTGAAGTATAAAAACTTTTAAAATCTTGAAGGAAATTCACAATATTAAAGCCAGGAGAAAAGGGGTGTTTTAACTCTGGGGCTAATGACAACCAACACAGCAAGCTTGTATAAAATTAAAGAGCTCCAAAAAAAATCTAGAGGTGGGGAGGGAGGAAAACTTGACAATGGCTTCAGTGATTATAGGGCTGAAAATTGGTTTTCTACATATAGGTTCACTAAACAGGCTATTATTATATCTTATTTGGAATGATAAAAAGGGGCAAGGATAGTAAAACCACACTTCTCCTATAAAAAGTTAACATATTCTCTTCTGTAGGGACATCTATGGTACATGGAGACATACAGATCTGCATAATCACTATTGCATGTTCCGGAACTGAGAGAGTCTGGTCCTACTTGTGTCTAGAACAAATTAATCCTCCTCTTCTTCACCTTCATCTTCAGGGTCTCGTTTCCTCTTCTCCCCTCGGACACCCCCTGCTAAGGAAAAAAGAGGGAGGGACACAACTTGTTACCTTCTTGCTCACACATCAGCCAGGAATCCCACTGAAATGGGTTCATCTTGGTTGCTGCAGTCGCTGGAACCTCCTGGGGCTGCTCATGGCTCCCAAAAACAAACCCAGAGCAACCTAAACTGATCCATTTGTGTAGGAAATATTTCAACTAAGCTCAAGCTGAGCATGTGATGTTGGTACCAATCATGGGGTTTATTTAAAAAGCCCCTTTTTACATTATGTTACCTCTTACGTAGCGTTATCTTAATGTATATTTGAGGAGTAAGCAAATCATGGGATGGTTTGGGTTGGAGGGACCTTCAAGAGCATCTAGATCCAACCCCCTGCATGGGCAGGGACACCTCCCACCAGCCCAGGCTGCTCCAAACCCCACATTAGATCCTTCAGCACTTCCAGGGATGGAGCAGCCACCTTTAACATCATTGAATGGATCATCTGGGTGATCTTTAAGGTCCCTTCCAACCCAAACCATTCCATGATCTAAAGATCATCTGGATCCAACCCCCCCCCATGGGCAGGGACACCTCCCACCAGCCCAGCTTGCTCCAAGCCCCATCCACATGGAAGTGACATTTTTCCCCTCTCTCTCTCTCTCTCTAGTTTTTAGGAGCTGCTTCCCAACCACCAGCAGCTTCCACAGCCACCAAGTGGAACGTGCTCCATCCTCTCCCCAGTGACAAACTCATGGGAACATCTTGCATCAACATCTCAGCCAGGAGCAGAGCTCGGGCAGTGGATTCTGCGCCCTTGTGGTGAAACCATGAAATGCAACCTTGGCCAATTAATAGATTGCTTTTCCAGCACTCATTTCCTGGCTAATTAGCCATCCTGACTGCCTGCTTTGTTGTCTTAATAGCTTTGAAGGCTGCACTTGGAAAGAGTCAAGAACCAGCACTGACTGCTTCAGAATTCCAAGGGGAAAACCTGCTCCATGAAGCCAGGTGTGCAGATGAGATGGGGACTATTATGGAATGGGTTGGAGGGACCTTCAAGATCATCCAGATCCAACCCCCTGCATGGGCAGGGACACCTCCCAGCAGCCCAGGCTGCTCCAAGCCCCATCCAACCTGCCCTTCAACACCCCCAGGGATGAGATTAACACTTCCACAACTTCCCTGGGCCACAACTAGTTGTGGAGGGAATTCTAGGATTTGCCCACATCTTCCACAGACCTCAAGGCTGCAGGATTAACACAAAACTTGGCTGCTGGGGGTAGTTTAAAGATGGAGCTGGAATTCCTAACAGTTGGAAAAGCCAAGTACAGTGACTTGACACCCTGCACCTTCTTAAAGCAGAACCAACCCCACACACTGGCACCTTTTTTTTTTGCTATTATTCATGTGTCTCGACATCAAACCAGTCGTTTATGAAATTATCAACCACTGATTAAAAAGATCAGATAGAAGAAATCAAGGGGGAAGCTCAGCAGCTCAGGTCACTGGGCTGAGCTGGTCTGTAAGGAGCTGCTTCCCAGGTGGAAAAGTGTCCTCAAGGAGCCACTTCCAGCTCGAGGAAGGGAACATGAAGCAGCTACTGCTGCTCTGCCAGTGGAACAAAGTATTTTAAAATCTATGTAAATAACATTTGCAAGGTCTGCAGAGGAGTCCCTCCTCTCTCCATGCTGGAAAATTAACATTTCTAACTGTGTAGGAGACACAGTCTCTTTCATTTTAGAAACTGCTTCAACAAGGCTTTGAAAACCTGTCATTTCTTCCTGAGGTTTATTTCACCAGTGGACAGAAAGTATCAACTACTGCACAGCTCCTTCTCTACCTGCTCCTGCTTAAACCAAGCCTAAAGTACCTCCAGGTCCCTTCAGAAACAACCCAGCCCAACAATAATTTCAAGGGCAAATCTGCAAATTATTGACTCCCAGCTTATTTTAAACAACTTGACAACTCACCTTCTTCCTCCTCGTCGCCCCCTTCTTCGACATAATCATCGTCGTCGTCTTCATCCTTGGCAAAAAAAAAAAATGGTGAAATGGTTTTGAAAATTGCTGCTTGTTTCAGTTTTGCTTCAATGAGAGGTTGGAAGTGCCAGGCTCTGTGTCCAGAGGTGACAGAACATGCATTTGTTGTCACTTGGGCACCTGTAGCCACCCCAGCCAGCCCCATTTATCTGGCTCAGTGTTCCTCCTTTCTTTCTTGTTCCCACTTATCACCTTCAACCAACCCAAAAATTGCAAAATCCAACTGAATTTAACTGAAGAAGCCACCACAGCAGAGGTGACAAAGAGTTTTACTTCTCCCTTCAACATGAAAGGCCAAGGAAGAAAACACAGAACAACTCAAATCTTCACAAAACGACTCTTTCTGTGTCAAATGAATCAAGTTGTTTGGGTTTTTTTATCCCCATTAATTTTCTTTTCAAGCTGATAGCTGAAAAATATCAACCAATTAACAACCAGCAGCCCCAGGAAATTAAACAGTGGGCCAAGATCTCTGCCCTACTGGCACCAAATCCAGCCTTGAAGACAAATCCATCTACTCTTGATCAAATTTTAGACACTGGCAACAAGTGACAATGTGAAAAGATCACAGAGCCCATCCCACATCTGCCCTCAGACCCTGGGAATTTAAAACCACACTGGATTCATTCCCTGCAGTTAGGATGGAACATGATTTCATTCCCTAAAACACAGGGGAAATAAAGAGGTGCCTGGAAGAACTCTTCCAAAACTTGTCAAGCTTCACCCTGGCCACTGCCTGCTCCTTTTCTTACCTAAACGTGCAAAAAATGCAAACTCAGGGTCTGGTTTTGTTGCACCAGCATCAGAAGGAACTTCCCAAACCTAATTCCCAGCCATGATCATGCAGAGAATATGGATATATTAATGATTCACTCCTGAGCCCCCTGTGGCTGCTGAAGGAGAGTGGGAAATCAGGACTCCA